AATCTAGGCAATTATGACAAAATTTGGTGACGAAATTTTTTGTCTTAAAATTTAACCCAAAAATGACAAAATATTAATTTTGTTGTTTTTAATTTTTTTCAAACGTATAGGAGACGAAAAAAAAATTCGTCTGCAAAATTTAGGCGCCAATTTCATTTGCATTGGCGCGAATTATTTTAGCTCATTGGAGACGAACATTTTTGTCACCAATAAAACACTCCATCATGCAAATGATGCCGTTTCATCTTTCTATTAAATAGGCGACAAATATATTTTTGTCTTAGAAGAATAAGTTGTGGGAGATGAAAATATTTCGTCACTAATAAATTCTGATTGATTGCGCGACGAATATATTTTTCGTCTCATAAGGTTATGTTGTGGAAGACAAAAATATTTCGTCACCAATAATAAATTCTTTGTTCTTATATTTAAGGAGATAAAAATATTTTATCACTAATTATTTCTCTTTATTAATATGCTATGGTTTTGGGTTTCAGAGCACTGAAACCGTGACTCCAAGAGACACACTCTGACCCTGATCACTCATTTTCATGTGCACGGACACTCAAGTCGTGACCCAAGAAGACACTTTCTACAAACCTTCATTTCTCTCTCGCAGTTGAGCCTACTCCTCTCTCACAAGTATTGAAGTCGTGAAGCAAGAAGATACTCTGTAAACCATTTTTTCTATTTTCGCACTAAAGCCCCTTTCATATGTTTCACACTTAAGTCCTTCATGCATGCCAGTATTTAAGCTATTATCCAAGAAGGCACCCTATGCAAAACCGACTATTCTTTCTCATAGTGAAGGTGCCTCTTGCATAAGCACTGTTTCTTATTGTTTGAACCAACTCTATCCTTTCCGTCTAGAATACCTATTTTAGAAAAATCGCAGGTCAAAACCCCTCTCCACAAAAAAAAAAAAAAAAGATAATTAATGTAGCTATTTTTTTGTGAGAAAAAAAAAACAGAGGAAAAATTAATAATAATTTTTTAATTTTCAAAATTAATAGAAAACATTACCTTGTTTAGTATGGAGTTTTCAATAATTAATTTGTAATTTTTAAACAATATTTTTTTAGTGAACATTTTTTAATATTATAATTTTTTTTCTTTTTTTTTATACTTTTTAAATCCCTTTAATTTAGGTAAGGGAAAATTGCATCAGTTGTCCCGATACTTTGGTCCTTGTGTCATATAAATGGTATGTGCCATATCTATATCTATATCTATATCTATCTATATATCTATCTATATCTATATCTATCTGTCTATCTATCTATCTATCTATCTATATCTATATATTATATAAGGAAAATGAGGGTTTTTAACTTACAAGCCTTGTGGGAGCCCCAATATCACAATCTTAATTTTCTAAATTTTTGATTTCAAAAAAAAAAAAACTCAACATTTATTGACTTCTCTCAACCCACTTTTTGACTTCTCCCATATTTACTCCTACACCCTTTTCAACTTCTCTCATACACTATGGCTAGTAATGAGATTATTAAACTATTTTTATAAAAAAATCTTTAAAAAAATAATTTGTATATTAAAAAAATATCTAAAACAAACATAAATGCTTATTAAATCTATCTATCTATCTATCTATCTATCTATCTATCTATCTATCTATCTATCTATCTATCTATCTATCTATCTATCTATCTATCTATCTATCTATCTATCTATCTATCTATCTATCTATCTATCTATCTATCTATCTATCTATCTATCTATCTATCTATCTATCTATCTATCTATCTATCTATCTATCTATCTATCTATCTATCTATCTATCTATCTATCTATCTATCTATCTATCTATCTATCTATCTATCTATCTCAAACTAAAATTTCTAATTTTTTGATTTTAAATAATTAAATTTTAATTTATCGATCCACTACAAGAAAATGCACTTTTAGCGACCACTCTCTCTTTCTCTCTCTCTCTCTCTCACACCTATCACTCTGTCTCTCTCTCTCTCTCTCTCTCTATCTCTATCTCTCTTCTCTATTTGTCTCACACTTATCCCTGTCTCTCATCACCCATCTCCTCTACCACATTCACCACTACTGCAAATGCCATTCCAATACCACTACTACTACTACCACTGTTGCCACTCCACCTCTACAACTAACATTATTACCACAATCGCCACCACTCCACTACCACCACTGCCACTACTACTACCATTACCTCTCCTCCACCACCGCCACTCCATCTCCTTTACCACTACCACAACTTCACCACTAATCTCCTTTGTCATCGCCACCACCGCTACCACCACCATCACCTCTTATCCACCACCTTTACCACTACTACCGCTCCCTTTCCTCTACAAAAAAAAATTAGTTCCTGATTTATAGTAACAAAAAAAAATGGGCCGTAGAAAAATATTTTTCATTGACCACAAAAAATTAACTTTATTTTAATAGAAAATATTTTTCATTAAAATGTTACCCCTACTTCTACCAAATAAAAAATAATAATAATTTTTTTTCATTAAAATAAAAATGAAACAAATAAATTTTCAACCTTAGTAACTAAAAAAAAATGAAAAATCAAAAGAAAAAAATTACATTAACTACAAAAAAAATAATAATAAAAAATATTTTAACAAAAAAATAAATAAAATCCCATAGTGCGATCAATATAGTGTAATCAATATACCCACCCCAAAAAAATAGTATAATCAATATATATTCTCAGAAATACTCAAAATCCCTAATTTTTCCAAATTTCCTCAAACCCTTTGGCACCTATGATTTCTTTTTCCCTCTTCTCTCATTTTCACATTCAAATCTCTCTCTCTCTCTCTCTCTCTCTCCATAATCTCACTACAAGAAAAAGGACTTTATAACACGGAAGCAATTGCGACGACATCACTTACCGTTGCAAAAAGTGATTTTTTGCGACGGCATCATTTGCCATTGCCAATAAAGGGGTTTTTAGCGACGGTACCCATTCATGTCACAAATAAGCAACTTTTTTGCGACGGTAACAACTACCGTCGCAAATAATGCGCATTTTTTGTGACGGTAACCTATGCTGTCACAAATAAAGCTGTTTTTTGCGACGGCATGAACTGCAGTTGCAAATAAGAGAGTTTTTGCGACAGTAATAGGTGCCGTCGCAAAAAAAAAAAAAGAAACTGTTTTAATGAGATGACATTAGAAGTATTAGCGACGGCATTTTGTTGTCGCAAAAAACTGAAATTTTTGTAGTATTTCACCCATTTTTTCATCTTACTGTCTCTCTGTCTCTCTCTATATCTCTCTCTCTTTCGCTCATCTCTCTTATCTTTCTCTTTCTCTCACTCACTCATCACTCTTTGTCTTTCTGTCTGTGTGTCTCTCTCTCTCTCCCACACTATGCTCACGTTGCTCACTCTCTCCATCCCCTTTTCTCGATTTACCGATCTCCTTCTCGATTTATCGATCTCTTTTTTTTTCTCTATCTCTCTCTCTGTTCTTTCAATCGCTCATCTCTCATTTCTCTTAATCACTTGTTAAAAGTGAAAAAAGTCAAAAAATGAAATAGGCCTCTCTCTCTCTTTCTGTCCCTCATTCTCCTTGGCTTGCTCATCTCTCTCCGCTCTCTATCTCTCTTGCTTATCTTTCTTCTCTCTCTCTCTCTATGTCTCTCTCTATATATCTCTTGTTCATCTATTTTTGCTCTCTCTCTCTCTCTCTCTCTCTCTTTGTCTACCTCTCGCTCATCTTGTTTCTCTCTTTTTTTTTCTTTCTCTCTCTCCCTCTCTGTGTCTTTCTCTCTCTCTCTCATCACTATTCTCTCTGGCTCTCTCATCTCTCTTCGCTCTCTATCTCTTTTGCTTATCTTTCTTCTCTCTCTCTCTCTTTCTCTCTCTCTCTCTCTCTCTATATATATATATATATCTTGTTCATCTCTTTTTGTGATCTTTCTCTCTCTTTCTCTCTTTGTCTATCTCTCGCTCATCTTGTTTCTCTCTCTTTTTTTTATAAATATTTCTCTATGACCCTCTCTCTCTCTCTATGTGTCTCTCTCTCACTCATTTATCTTTTCTCTCAATCGTTCATTTCTCTCATTCACACTTATCTCTTTCTCTGAGCCCATTGTTGTTGAAAGAGGAAAAAGTCAAAAAATGAAATGGGTCTCTCTCTCTCTCTATGTCTCTCGCTCATCTCTCTTCTCTCTCTCTTTCACTTGTCTCTCTCAAAAAATGAGTTTACGTTGGTTTTTAAACGGAAATCTAAAAATTTGACTAACAATTTTTTTTAATTAATTGTTTTTTCAAATATTTTTTTTCAATTAATTTTTTTAAATATTTTTTTTTCAATTATTTTTTTTCAATTAATTTTTTTTCAATTATAATGTGTATGATCTCATTGTCATAAATAATAATAAAAAATAAATATAAATATTTTAGGCCTAGATAAACATGTTTTTTAGTTTATATTTTTAAATTTTTTTAAATATTTTATTCAAACCAAACACGTTTATAATTTATATTTTTTAAAAAATAAATAAAAATCAATTAGTGAAATTTTTGTAAACATAAACCAAAAATATAAATGTTACCAAATGATACCTTAAATTTTCATTTGAGATAGTTATACTTGATGTGGCAAAAAAAAAAAATACACAAAATCTTATTCCTGCTCGTTTTTCCCCCCTCAACCAAAAATGCCCAAATCTCAAATCCTTAATTTTTGAACCAAAAATCCCCATCTCTCTCTCTCTCTCTCTCTCTCTCTCTCTCTCTCTCTCTCTCGCGCGCGCGCGATTGTGAGCATGGCAGACGATAGCGTGGAGTGACGGGGTTAAGAAGCCTGACTCTTTTGTTTCTCACTCCGTTGGCTTTCCCTCTACTGCTCTATTCCAGTGGCGAAGGAACTGCTTAGGGACCACCGTAACCATTAATAGCAGGCTCGAAGCTTTCAGCTTCAAGAACATCGGTCTGCTCAGATTCGCATGATTGAAGAGACTCTCCGATTCGCCGGTGTTCCTGGTGCGGTCTAATTTCTTATATATTTTTGTCTATCTGAATATATATTGATGATTTCATTTCATTTAAATAAGCAGGACATTCTTATATTTTGCAATTGTTTTGTTGAATCCACGATGGAATGAAAAGGTGATTACATCTGTGGCCGAAGGATTTTGTTGCATTCGTTCTTAGCGTAGAATCGCTTGGACTTTGCCTGTCGAAGCCCTAGGTCACAGCCCTCTCTCTCTCTCTCTCTCTCTCTCTCTCTCTCTCTCTCTGTATTTCCTAAAATCTAGTATATATTTTGGTCCATTTTCTGAGCCTTATGCCGGTTATGCTTCTGTTTATATATAGAAGTTGAATTCTTAGATAGATCCACGAAAATAGCTAAAATCTAGAAGTTGAATTCTTATAGCTAAAAGATGGAAAGAATATTACTTCAATCACCACTGGAGAGCAAGAATTCCTAGATAGATCCACGAAAATAGCATTAAATGAAGCAAATCCATTTCATACGAAAGCTCCACGAAAATAGTTTTAATTTTGCATTGCATTATGCTTGAGTCTTGATTGTAAAGTGACTGATAGTTCTGTGATCCAGGAACCACTTCATGATATTGTGGGTCTTAGAAAAGAAGCAGATGGAATCAGAATTGATGTAGCTCTTTAGTGGTGAGCAATTATTTTTTTCTTTCTTCTTGTTGCATTTCTTTTTCATGAATCTCTTGACAATTTCTTTTTTCAAATTTATTTATTTTGGTCAGTCCACAAAAAAATACAGAGACCACTTTAATAGATTCAGTCCACGTGTCACTCATTCACTGTCTTGTTACATGCTTCTTGATGCATTAGCATGAGCTTGGATTTCTTACAAGTTGGGAGAGAGCAGTCTATAGTTTTCTCAAATGCCAAAAGCGTTTGATTTCTTGCTTCAAACTTTAGTATGATAAACCAGTATTATGTGCAAAAATGCCAATTGTGTAGCCTAGAGCTAATTTAGTTCTTTTCAATCTTACTTTCTCTATCATTGCTGGAAGATGTCAAACAATTGGAATGCATCAACTAGTTAATAAGGTCAGTGATGGAATGGAATCATCCAGTCTATAGTACCTTTAGACCAAAGTTAAACCTATTTATTATATATGCCTCCAAGTGTATGGCATCTTCTAATCATACACCTCGGGTAGTGTTTGGTTCACTAAAATGAATGTGGAATGGAATAGTCACTCCTTATCCTTCTTATGGAATGATCGACTCTGCTCAAGTTGTTACAAGTTGGGAGATTTCTTACAAGTTGGGAGATTTTCTTGCTTCTTAGCATCTGAAGGCTAATCCTTATAAAAGTGCAAAGGGCACAGTGATTGAGGCAGGTCTTCATAAATCTATAGGACCAGTAGCCATATTCATTGTGCAGAATGACACCCTTAAAAGAGGAGATGTAGTTGTTTGTGGTGAAGCCTTTGGAAAGGTTTGCAAATAAGAGCTAGCCCTAGGAAACTTTTTTTAAGCTAGAAGTCATTGTTTAATGTACTAAAAAAAACGGTAGAGTTGGTTTCATTTTGGTGCCCATCTTTGAAAAACTTGACCTTTCACTTCCATTTTCAGGTTCAGGCTATATTTGATGATCATGGAAGTCGTGTTGATGAAGCTGGACCATCTATACCTGTACAAGTTCGTAGTTCTTTTAACTTTTTGCTAGTTTTTGCCATTTGTGTAGTTAATTTATTTATTATAAGTATTACCTTTTCATGTTATATCTAATTATAAAGCAATAGCTTGGTTGAACATGGCAATATTTGTGGCATTCCTTGTAGGATAAGAATTAAGAATCTGAGTTCCTAGCTTGATTTCCAAAATTGGCTCTTGCAATTGTAAAAAGGCTATATTATTAAGGGAGGGGTTGTATAACTTGGACACCTGATTTTGGTGATGAGTTTTCTTAATTTTCCCTACTTGAGAGTCATAATAATTGCTGCTTAATTAATATGTAAGCTACTCTGCTTTCTCTGTATGGGGCTACATGCTCAGCTCAACGGCATCCTGACTCTTGAAGTCATTGTTTTTTAGGTTATTTATAAGATATCATCAAGAGCATGATTTGAAAGGTTCTAAACATGAAAATTTGAATTTGCCATCTTAGAATGCAATCAGTAAATCTAGTTCCAGCTACATATGGTTGGCTGTGTGAATTATGTTCCACAATTTTGCATCTACAAGACAATAATGCCTTTGAACCTTTTCAGAACCATACTTGTGCAATTTTCCCCTTTTATTCCTGTTAGGCTATTACACATCACAACTATGACCGAAGTATCTTGAGGGATAATCATGACATGCTATAATCTAAAGTAATATATGGGTAAGAAGATTGGGTAACTGAGCAAACATGGTTATGAATTTAATTGCAATTTAATTGTAGTTAGAGACGGATTTCATTCTAAGACAAACTAGTTGAAACTTAGAATTCGAGGTGTTGACGCCCCAAAATCCCCAAACGGCGTTGGACTAGCACGAAACTTGGCACACACGACCGCCTAGGCATGAGAGACTTGTGGGAGAAGACGGGACTCGAATCGGGTTCCCGATTTGGGAGTTAGAGCCGGATTTCACTCTAGACAAACTAGTTTCTTAAGAAACTTAGAATTCGAGGTGTTAATACTCCAAAATCACCAAACGGCATTAGAGTAGCACAAAACTTGGCACAAATGACCGCCTAGGCATGAGAGACTTGTGGGAGAAGACGGGACTCGAATCGCGTTCCCGGTTTGGGAGTTAGAGCCCGATTTCACTCTAGCCAAACTAGTTTCTTAAGAAACTTAGAATTCGAAGTGTTAACGCCCCAAAATCACCAAACGGTGTTGGAGTAGCACGAAACTTGGCACACATGACCGCTTAGGCACAAGAGACTTGTGGGAGAAGACGGGACACGAATCAGATTCTCAGTTTGAGAGTTACTGCCGGATTTCACTCTACACATTAGTTTCTTAAGAAATTTAGAATTCGAGGTGTTGACGCCCCAAAATCACCAAACAGACTCGGAGTAGCACGAAATTTGGCACACACGATTGTCTAGGCATGAGAGACTTGTGGGAGAAGACGGCACTCGAATCGGATTCCCGGTTTGGGAGTTAGAGTTAGATTTCACTCTAGACAAACTAGTTGAAACTTAGAATTCGAAGTGTTGACGCCCCAAAATCACCAAACGGCGTCGGAGTAGCACGAAACTTGGCACAAATGACCGCCTAGGCACGAGAGACTTGTGGGAGAAGACGAGACTCGAATTGGGTTCCCAGTTTAGAAGTTAAAGCTAGATTTCACTCTAGACAAACTAGTTTCGTAAAAAACTTAGAATTCGAGGTGTTAACGCCCCAAAATCACCAAACGACGTCAGATTAGCACAAAACTTGGCACACACGACCGCCTAGGCACGAGAGACTTGTGGGAGAAGACGAGACTCGAATTGGGTTCCCGGTTTGGGAGTTAGAGCTGGATTTCATTCTAGACAAACTAGTTTTGAGGACCAAAGGATAGGAAGAAGTAAGGGGAGATAATGGCTGATGTTGTCAACTTTTTAAGGACCAAAGGATTCACTGGACACTTTGGAAGTGGAGGAGACTCATCCACAAGTGGACATACTTCTTGGTAAAGTATATTAACTTTAATATAACAAATTTTATAAAAGAATATATGTTTGAAGAATTAGAAAGTAATGGAAACATGCATAGGACATCCAATTTGTACAGGTGCACAGTGTAACGCCCTCAAAATAAACCCATAATCACACATTCATGATACAAAAAGAGATATTATATTACCAACATCAGAGTATTCTTACAAGAAGTATTACATGTTGACAACAAAAGTAAATGCCCTATAGGCTTACAACTTTCCAAGTCAACACTTGGGTTCAACAAAAGTAGAGTTCTAACTCTTTACATAAAATAAGCCCATGGCTTGATATACATGTAATACAAAAGGTAATCACAAAAAGATAAGCCTTCAACTTCCACAACCTCCCAAGCTAAGACCTTGGAGGCGGCATTTCACCTGCACCTGAAAACAATGTCCCACATAGGGTGAGTCAATGCCCAGTAGAGATATGTTAAACATAATATGAGCAATAACTAAAACATGTGCATTCGATAAATGTTAACACTGGCTAACCAACTTACAACACAATTCACTTTCATGACCAATATGTCCATGTTTCATTTTACTTTCCTTTACTTAACCAATTTTCAATTTCATAAACATGGCTCAGAACCTGGCCAAACAATTAAATAAGATCACAACTCATATCAACAACACTTCCATTTCACATTAGATACACATATTCGCTGTATCAATATCATATTAAAACACTTCCATACTTCACAATAGATACACATATTTGCTGTATCAATGGAGTCCATCCCCTATCTCCTCCCAAATAAAATCCGATTTAGGAGTCCACCCCCTATCTCCTCCCAAACCGTGGAGTGCATCCCCTATCTCCTCCTACACAATACAATGTATATAAACAATTATCATATGCATGATCAATCAATACACATATTCGATGTATTATTCCAACCGTCATATTCAATGACATATTCAATCGATTAGTTTTAATTCACCTAATCATCATGCAGTGTCTACAACAATCAAGACTATCCTCCACCGATAGCCCAAAGCAATTATTTCTAAACAGATAATAAATGCATCAACAGATAAATTATCAACATTTTCAAAAGTGAACGGTTAATAAATCCAACTCCACCATTCAATCTCATCTTAAGCCAATTTCATCATTTCCATCTCAATTTCACATTTCACAATGAAAGTCATTACTTGCACTAATGACCCAATAAAACCCAAATATGGCATTTTCCCATTTCTTTTCCAATATTGACCCAATGGTTCAAATATCATTAATAAACATTCACAACCTCATGTTAAGACCCATATACACATATATAGTTCAAAAGGAACAAAACCCCTCCTTTCAATATTTCAAATCTCAAACCCTAACTTCTCAAATCAAACCATTTATACAAAATTCCCAACATCTATGTTAAAGATCATAAAAATGAATAGTTATCCCTACCTTAAATAGAGAGACCAAATGGAGAAGATGAAGAATTTCGAAATGCTCCAAAACCCAAGATTTTCAGATGGAAATGTAGCCCAAGCCAAGCTCTACACTTTATACAAAGGGACCAAGGTAGGGGATCACTCAAACTAGATCAAACCCTAGAGAGAAGTTGAAGTTTAGAGTGAGGAGCTTTCTAATGGAGGTTTTGAAAAGTTAAAGAGAGAGAGTCAAAGAAAAGTGATCCAAAAAGTCACTTTTCGGACTGATATAAAAGTCACCCCGCTCGAGCATGGAACTCCCCGCTCGAGCGTTAGACACAGACTCACGCTCGAGCGTCAAAAGCACCGCTCGAGCACTGGATGCACACCTCCAGAAGTTTTGCAGTCGATGGTCCCCGCTCGAGCGTGAAAGTGGACACTCGAGCGTCTAATAACCTGCAGACAAAATACTGAGAGATGGAAAATCACGCTCGAGCGTCAAAATGTCAGCTCGAGCGGAGAAGCAAAATCAAAGGGCCCCGCTCGAGCATCAAAATCCCCGCTCGAGCGTGAAGGCAAAATTCTGGGCAACAACTCTAGGTTTCTAAACACAACCAACCTGTTTCAAACCTGCCCAACACAACCCAAGACTCACATACAAAGAGTAAAGGACGGAAATGAGAATACGACAACAACACATTCACGGAACTAAGTCCGAAATACAGCAAACAAGGAAGGAAAAACAGGGATCGCTATAACACAGGATGTATAAATTGTGAATTAGTCTAAAAAATATTTCTTTTTCTCTATACTTAAAGCTTCAAAAAAGGTCGTCAAAAGGCTAAATTATCATACAACCACAGATTTGTACAGGAACCAACAGAAACATCTTACGGGGGACCAATATAAGTTGTCTGAACTTACGGCACATTAATGGGATGCACCATTTGTGAATTAGTCTTAAAATTAATTTTTTAGTTCTCATAATCTCGAAAAAGTCTGTTAGAGGGATAAATTATATAATTGATCTAATTGTAAATTGATGAGTTACTAATGTTTTTAATCTTTTGTATAATTAATTAATTACTAAAGCTTTTAATTTATTTTTTTGCAGATTGGATTGGGGTGGCATTTTTTATGTGCAACAATGATGTAATTTGCTTGAATGTTCATTTTGTTTGATAAGGATGCACATACTTTGTGGAGTTGCACTAGTTATTGTTGGATGTTTTGTGGAATTGTACAAGTTTTAATTTTTGGATATTTTGTGGATATTGCACTATTTTATTGTATTAGGATGAAATTATTTGTAATGATAAATGGATATTTTCATTTTGTTAATTCGTAAATGTGTTGATGATAGGTTAGGTTAAGTTATGAATGGAATTGTTATATTTAATAGGTTTCAACATGAACAGTGTGATAATTGTTCAACTAAAATTCAGATTTTGATAAAATAGGTATATAATGTGGAAAAAAATATTATGGAATTAGTGACAAAATTTTCCATCCGTAAAGAAGGTTTTTTTCGTCTCTTATTTGGCTTAGGTGGAAGATTAATTTTGTCATGAATTCTTTATTTCGTCACTGAATGAATTTGTCATGACAAAAAATATTGTCACATTTTGTCACTATTACCCTCAATGTGTGACGATTTTTTTTGACATTATTTCATCATTTTTAATGATGAATTTATTTTTGTCTCTATTGGTAGCTTCTTTGACAAAAATTTTTCATCTTCGTTTATATTAAACGTGACAAAATTATTTCGTCTCTATTTCTTATATTTATGACAAAATACTTTTGTCTCTAATTTCTTCCTTTAATGACAAAATATTTTCTCGCTAATTACTTACAAGTATGTTCCCAACAGAGTATATTGGAGACAAAAAAATTCGTCACAAATTTATCATTTTCAATGACGAATTTGATTTTTCGTCTCTAAGACCCTTTAGCGACGACGCTTTGGCGACAAAACAGGCGACGAAAAATTTTCGTCGTAATCAGTTTGAGTGACGATATATATACATTTTGGGACAAATTTGTTTCGTCTTTAAACCCCAAATTTGTTGTAGTGTGATATGTGACTTACACATGAGGAAAAAAAAAACTATTTTTAACAATATATATATATGATTAGTCTCAACTAAAAAAGAAGTTAGAAAATCCAATTGTAACAATTAAAAACATCACAACAAATTAAGTTTTAGACAAAGACAAAATTACAGACAAAATATTTTAGTTGTTAAAAGCGTCATTTTTATTTTTAATGACGAAATTGGATAATTAGTGATAAATTACTATCCTTTTGGGATCAAAATTTTAGTATGAGAAAATAAACATTTTCGACACGAGAATTTTTTTCCCTAAAAGTGCATTTATTATCGACATTTTAAAATTTTGCCACTAAAGGTATTTTTTTTAACTTGTGGGATGACCTTTAAAGATGAAAGGAATTGGTCACCTAATGTTTTTTGCAATAAAATTTTCACTTTTAGAGATGAAAAAATTTAGTCCCTAAAACCCCTATATGTATGCTGTAATATATTTTTTTTCGATCTTCATTTAAAGAAAGCACATTAACCTTGATAATGTATAAAATTAAAAAAAAAAAGATTTTGATCTTCATTTAAAGAAAGCACATTAACCTTGATAATGTATAAAATTTTAAAAAAAATAAAAAGAAAAAAAGAAAGCTAAATAGCACACATGTTTGATAGCAACTTCTTCATGCAATTTTCAAAAGCTAATACATTCAATTAAATAAGTTAGTAAAATACTAAACAAACAAACATTTTGTATAAATTGTTTTACAAACTATTAATGTAGCATGCAATAATAAACCATTGATATTTGAAATGAACCAACTTCAATTAACTTATAGAAACAACTTCGCGCCAGATAAGTTTGTAAAGTAAAATTCTAAGAAACATTTTTTTGTATCACATTACTCTATGATTTATTCCATGTAATAATTATATATATAACCCCAATATCAAATCGGATATTAGCTATACCATTTTTTATGGTAAATTTAGGAGGAAGAGATGGTCCATAACCAAGCAAAGTGCAGAATTTCTTGACTGCATAACCAAATTTCAAAGTATATTTTGAACTTGAGAAAACAAGCTTCATGCAATAATCAGACATCCCCGTTACTGCCTTGCAAAGCTTGGGGTGCAACTCTGTACAGTTCCATTTGAATGATTGTCCGAGCCCCTTCTCACATCCTTTAATTTTCCTAGTACTAAGGAAACAATCAAATATGGGTGGTTTCGGAATTGAAAAGCGCAATGTTCTTGCCATAGTAGGTGTGATTGTTGTTGCAGAAAACACCAAAAGCATAATTATTATAACTTGTGTGCTTGGCCTTGTATTAGCAATCTTCATGTTTCCTCAATTCTAGTTCTCAAATTGAAATAACTTTAGAGAGGATGATAATGGGTTTTGCTTGAATGAAATGCATGAGGATTTATAAGTAAAGGGTGTGAAAGAAGAAGTGAGAATATATAGTTATGTAAATCTATTCATTGGTGGAATCAGGATTTTCATTAAGGGGGCCCAAATAGGTTATCTCCGTTAAATTCTTTCTATATATATTCTCTTACAATAATACAATTTCAAAAGTCTAATTGATGTATAGAGTTTATTACCTTGCTTATTATTATTTAATATATTTTGTCTTGATGTTTTTTTTATTAATTTGAAGCTTATAATATTCAAAGTGTTAATTATATAATGGTGTAAGAAATTTTTGTGCACTTAAGAAATATCATAGTTTTATTGATTTTTGTTAAAAAAAATGTTAATTATAATTGATATTAATAAAATATGTGACTACAATAACTCTAAAGACAGAGAAAAAGTATCGAGAAAATAATGTGTGATTTAAATTGATCATTTTATGTGTAAATCCCACTATACAAGAACTAAATTTAGACCACATATTATTTTTTTTCTTGATATTTTTGTGTCTGAATTATTGGTCTAATTATAAGGAGCAATTGAAAACTATTATGACAAGAAAAAAAATCAAGAGGAGATTTCAAAGGATAACAAAAAAAATTATTTAGAATTTTGAAGGGATCAACAAAATTTACTTAAAATTTAGGGGTAATATACTACCTAATCCCTTAACAATTCTGGCCCTAAAACTACCTAATTAGTTTTTAGAGAAAATTATAGTGGTAGTCCTTGTAGCCCTTGTGTCATTTTGGTTACTGTAATTTCAATTGGCTCGATTTTGATTTTGAATTTATGATTTTTTTTCTTAATTTGTTCCAATTAATTACAATTGTTATTTTTTTTTTAATGAAAAATGTGAATATGAGTAGCGTGTGTCATGTATTTATAGACAGAGTTATAAATTTGTTCAACTTAGTGAGTTAAACTCAACCAATTAAATGACCATTTTTCTTCAAAAATCTTAATCGACGTTATCAATTGGACTAAATTGATATAAAATTTAAAATTAAGAGGTCAAAATTGAATTAATCGAAATGACAGATGAAAATGATATAAGGGACAAAATGTAAGAACTATTGATATAATTTATTGTAATTCTTATCTACATTTATTTTCACTACAAGAATTTTCACTTTTGGCGATTAAATTTTTAGTCGCCAAAAGTCAATTTTTAGCCGCTGAAGGGCTTTAGCGACTAAATTTTTTAGTCTCAAAATTAGTAGGCGAAGAGTAGTCAGGAAAGCTAGTTGGCGATTGAAATTATTTTAGTCGCCAAATGTATTCATTTGCTGACTAAATATTTAGTCGCTAAAAGGTTGGACATTAAATTAAATTAGACCCTTTTCGGCGACCAAATTTTTAGTCGCCTAAAGTCCCACCTTTTTAGCTACTAAAATTTTAGTCGACAAAGAGTTCTTTTTTAGCTACTAAAAATTTAGTCGCCGAAAGTCCCCATCTTTGGCTACTAAATGTTTAGTCGGCAAAGAGTTCATCTTTTGGCTACTACATATTTAGCAGCCTAAAGTTCTACATTTTTGGCTACTAAAATTTTAGTCGGCAAAAGTGTGTTTATAATTTAGTTTTTTATTTTTAGCTACGAAATATTTTAGTTGCCAAATGTTTGATTTTCTTTTGGCTACTAAAGTTTTAGTTGCCAAATGTCTTCTTTTTTTATTTTTGGTTACTAAACTTTTAGTCACTAAATGTCTTTTTTTTTGCTACTAAACTTTTAGTCACTAAATATCTTTTTTTTTTTGGCTACAAAACTTTTAGTCGCCAAATGTTTTTTCCCAATTTATTTTTAGCTACTAATTGTTTAGTCACCAAAAAGATGATATTATGTTTTATTGCGAAATTATAATTTCTCCATAACCTGTCTATATACAATACAACCTGCAATACGTATAAAAACAAAATGATACATATTATCAATCATTCCACAATATGCATCCATATACCAAAAATAAATAACATTAAATATCAAAGTCCATACAAATCAACTATTGTCCAAACTAAAATAATAATTCCATACAAAATATATCATACAAAAATCAAAACCCTCCGTATACAAAAAAATACATTTACTACCAAGCGAAATTACCATTTGGCATGATTTGTACCACAACAAAAGGTGATATATGTATCACGACAAAAGTTTTCTATGAACCATGACAAAACGTTCTATATGTATGCCGACAAATGGTATATATGTACCACGACAGTCATTATCTGTTGATTGCCAAAAGTTTTCTGTATCAATAATAATGAACTACACAAAAGCTGAGGACGACAAAAGTATTATATTAGTTCTATACAAAAGTGAAAATTCTTCTCCATACACCAATATGGATTATCCACAAGTCCACGCAACAAAGCCAGCTACAAAGAAAAACAAAAAACGAAACATTAGAATTGGTTACAAAATATCAATTCAGTCAGCCGTATGGAACATGTTCTAACATGCATTTCAGGTAGAACAATCAAGAAATGTCTTCTTGGAAATAAAAGCAAGTATATATATATATATATATATGTATCATGCAATATTTATTCCAACCAACTGCACAAACAATGTAATATGTAATTTCTTCGTCCTATAAATATATAAAGGCAATTATTAGAATATGTAGATGCTATTTTAATAAAGTTGCTGCTTTTTTAACTAAGTGTTGCAAGTTTTTCGACTAAATGCAAGGCGTATTCAAGAGGTGTTATGAATTTTCGCCCCTGGAAAACCCTTTTTCGAGTAAGTTTAGGCGTGTTCGGCTCTAACTCCTAACCTACGGGTTTGAATTACGTTCTGTCAGTTCTCACAAGTCCTATTTGTCATGGGTGAACTATCCGTGTGAGCCACACGGTGGTTCGAGGGCTGGTAT